GGACAGATCTACTGCAAACATGAAAGTACAGCACATACATTTACAGAAGCTCTACCACCTATGTTTCTATAAGTACACTCTGTGGCATTTGCACAATGATGAAATTGCCTAGCAATACATTTCTCAGATTGTATCCCTATTAAGCTGCACATGACTATACTGTCTTGGCAAACAAATGTTTGCTATTGTTAAATAGTAAATTGGAGACATGAATAAATAATATGACCTAATTTATTAGGATCAAAATGACTTCCATTAAAGTTTACTCAAAATGACTTCCATTGAAGTTTAGAAAGCTTACTTCCATTTAGATCCCTTTACCATCTTCACTTTAAATATCATCTTCTTGGGCATGAGATGCTATCATAATTTTTATTTCAATCATCCAGTTATGTTTCTAAAACTCATGAGGAAATGTTTATTGTAAGTACCCACAACTCTGCTCTTTTCTGTTTTTTTATCCTCAAACTCCAAGACTTTGTCTATTTCATTTCCTTTTTGTTTGAAGAAATCTCTTTAGCCAGTCTTGAAGAATATGTCCGCTAATGACAATTTTTTTCAGTTATCCTTTGTCTGAGAATATTTTTATTCCCCTTTCTTCCTGAAGAAGAGTTTCACCAGATATTGAATTTTCAGTTTACAATTCTTTTCCCTCAGTACTTGAAAATTACTGTGCCACTTCATTCTGGCCTCTGGGCTTCAGATGGGAAGTTTACTGTCAAGCACATGGGTGTTCCCCTGCAGGTACTATGTTCTTTCTCTCTGGCTGTTTTCAAGGGTCTTTTCTTTATCTTTACTTTTTAAAATTTTAATGGTGATGTATCTTGGAATGGATTTCATTGGGTTTATCCTTTTTGAGTTTCACTTATCTGTAAATTTGTGTCTTTTATCAACTTTGGGGAGTTCCCAGCCATTATTTCTTCAAAGACTGCAGTCCCATCATCTTTCTCCTCCACATCTTGGACAACATTCACCCTATTAAGGTTTATCATGCAGATCTTGCCCTACTTTTGTAGGCTGTAGTTCTAAAGGCAGATTGATTTTCAAAGCCTGTAAGATGTTATTTTTATCTGGTGCCACTGGAGTTCCCATTGGTCCTTGTTGGTACTCCCTTAGGGGGAAAAAAATGGCATTCCCAAATGGGGTCTTTAAGGGTTTTTCCATCATGTGTCTCTAAGTGGGGAAGGGTATAGTGGGACCCCTCTACAGTGCCACCTCACTGTCTACTTCCCTACTCATCTCCAGGTGTTTCTGGTCAGGGAGGAGAGTCATGCTTATGAGGCAGATACTTCCTAAATCATGTCACCTACTTTAATTGTGTCTCCTTCTCACTCCTCCTGCCCACTCCTGATATCTCTTTTTAAGAAAGTGAAATCTCAGGCCTGGGAAGGAAAGGGAATGCTTATTCTGGTAGGTCTCACGATCAGTTCCCCTTGCCATGGTGTTGTGCTTGCCTGATGTCAGAGGGACTCCCATTGGACCCAGGGCAAGAATGAACCTACCCAGTTTTTGTCTACTGCTAGATTGGGGGTTGAGAAATGCTAGGTGTGGGTAACTTTTCTGTGTTGGGCTAGGGAGATGCAAAATGTCCTGTCTCTGTGTTTTGCTCTAGTCTTAAAGTCCCAAACCAGTTCACCTTTCTCTTACCACCTTTCAGTGTTCTTTGGTTATCTCTTGCTCTATTTCCAGGGTTTAGAGCTGTGCCTATCAGGAAGAAGGGAGAAATAAGCTCACACCATCTTGTTTAGACTGGAAGTGACTTCACCATTTTTCTTTGATAATTCCCTCTTCTTTATTGTCTTTGGGCTCTCTGATTGAAATTCTTATTCAATGCATTTTAGACTTGTCTCCTTCCTTCACTTTAAAAAATCTTTATTTTTATACTTTCCATCTCTGTCTTTTTACTGTAGAAGATTTCCTTATCTTCCCATTAACTATCTGCATCTTTATGTTTACTCTTTCTTTTCTGCCCTATTTTTTATTTCAATTTTCAGATTTTAAATTTTCAACAGTTTTTCCCCTATTACATTTTTATTTTTAATATATTTTATTGATTATGCCATTACAGTTGTCCCATTCCCCCCTTTCATTCCCTTCCACCCTGCACACCTCTCCCCCGACATTCCCCACTTTAGTTCATGTCCATGTGTCATAAGTTCTTTAGCTTCTACATTTCCCATACTATTCTTGCCCTCCCCCTGTCTATTTTTCTCCCCACCATCTATGCTACCTATTCTTTGTTTCTTCTCCCCTCTTCTCCTCCCACTCCCCTGTTGCTAACCCTTTATGTGATCTCCATTTCTGTGGTTCTGTTCCTGATCTAGCTGTCCATTTAGTTTGCTTTTGTTTTAGGTATGATTGTTAATAACTGTGAGTTTTCTGTACATTCACTGTTAATATTTTTTATCTTCTTTTTCTTAGATAAGTCCCTTTTTTAATTAATTTTATTTAGTTATTTTTCAAGTACAGTTTTTTGTCTATTTTTCCCGTCCCAGTCTCCCCCACCCCTTGCTCCCCACCTCCCTCCCATTTCCACCCTCCTTAGTTCTCGTCCCTGTGTCCTTCCTATTTGTTCCTCCAAATCCCTCCCCCTTTTTCCCCTTAAGTTCCCTTCCTTCTCCCCTCTGGTCACTATCCCCTTGTTCTCTATTTCAGTGTCTTTGTTTTTTTTTTTTCTGCTTGCTTGTTTGTTTTGTTGTTTAGCTTCCTGTTAAAGGTGAGATCATATGGTATTTGTCTTTTAGCACCTGGCCTATTTCACTCAGCATAATGCTTTCCAGTTCCATCCATGTTGTTGCAAAAGGTAGTAGCTCCTTTTTTCTCTCTGCAGCATAGAATTCCATTGTGTATATGTACCACAATTTTTGGATCCATTCATTTACTGATGGGCACCTAGGTTGCTTCCAACTCTTGGCTATTGTAAATTGTGCTGCTATGAACATTGTGGTACATAGGTTCTTTGAAATTGATGTTTTAGGATTCTTAGGATATAATCCCAGCAGTGGAATTGCTGGGTCAAAAGGCAGGTCGATTTTTATTTTTCTGAGAAAATTCCATACTGTTTTCCATAATGGTTGTACCAGTCTGCAATCCCACCAACAGTGAACTAAGGTCCCCTTTTCCCCACAACCTCTCCAACATTTGTTGTTTGTTGCTTTGTTTATGATAGCCATCCTGACTGGTGTAAAGTGGTATCTCATTGTGGTTTTAATTTCTCTCTGATAGCTAATTTCTCTGTGGTTTTGCATCTCTCTGATAGCTAACAATATTGAGCATCTCTTCATGTGTCTCTGGATACTCTGTATGTCCTCCTTGGAGAAGTGTCTGTTCAAGTCCTTTTCCCATTTTTTAATTGGGTTGGGTGTCTTCTTAGAGTGGAGCCGTGTAAGTTCTTTGTATATTTTGGAGATTAAACTTTTGTCTGAGGTATCATTGGCAAATATGTTTTCCCATACAGTTGGTTGTCTTGCTAATTTAATACTGTTTTCTTTAGCCATGCAGAAGCTTTTTATTTTGATGAGATCCCATTTGTTTATTCTTTCCTTTACATTCCTTGCTCTAGGGGACATATCAGTAAAGAAGTTGCTGCATGAAATATCTGAGATTCTCTTGCCAATGTTCTCCTCTAGGACTTTAATGGTGTCATGACTTACATTTAAGTCTTTTATCCACCTTGAATTTATTTTGGTGTATGGTGTAAGTCTGTGCTCAAGTTTCATTTTTTTGCACGTAGCTGTCCAGTTCTCCCAACACCATTTGCTGAAGAGGCTATCTTTACTCCATTTTATGTTACTGCCCCGTTTGTTGAATATTAATTGACTGTAGAGAGTTGGGTTGATTTCTGGGCTCTCTGTTCTGTTCCATTGGTCTATGTGCCTGTTTTTATACCAGTACCAGGCTGTTTTGATTATAGTGGCCTTGTAATACAGTTTGATATCAGGTATTGTGATCCCCCCTACTTTGTTCTTCTTTCTCAAAAAAGCAGCTGCTATTCAGGCTCGTTTATGGTTCCATATAAATTTTCGAAGTGTTTGTTCTATGTCTGTGAAATATGCCATTGGTACTTTAATAGGTATTGCATTGAATCGTATATTGCTTTGGGTAGTATGGACATTTTGATGATGTTAATTCTTCCAATCCATGAACAAGGTATATGTTTCCATTTGTTTGTGTCTTCCTTGATTTCATTCTTCAGGGCTGTGTAGTTTTCTGCATACAGGTTTTTTACCTCCTTAGTTAAGTTTATTCCCAGATACTTTATTTTTCTTTTTGCTATATCAAATGGGATTTTTTTTCTTTATTTCTGCTTCTGCTGATTCATTGTTTGTATACAAAAATGCCTTTGATTTCTGGATATTGACTTTGTATCCTGCTGTTTTGCCAAATTCATTAATTAGTTTGAGCAGTTTTTGGGTAGAGTCTATAGGATTTTCTATGTACACTATCATGTCATCTGCAAACAGTGACAGTTTTGCTTCCTCCTTTCCTATTTGGATGCCTTTTATTTCCTTTTCTTGTCTGATCACTGTGGCTAAAACTTCCAATACTATATTGAATAGAAGTGGTGAAAGTGGACAACCTTGTCTTGTTCCTGATCTTAGTGGAAAAGCTTTTAGGTTTTTCCCATTGAGTATGATATTGGCTGTAGGTCTCTCATATATGGCCTTTATTATTTTGAGAAATGCTCCCTGTATTCCCACTTTGCTGAGTGTTTTTATCATAAATGGGTGTTGTACCTTATCGAAAGCTTTTTCCGCATCTATTGATATGATCATGTGATTTTTGTCTTTGCTTTTGTTTATGTGATGTATTACATTTACTGATTTGCGAATATTGAACCATCCTTGCATCCCTGGGATGAATCCCACTTGATCATGGTGTATGATCTTTTTGATATATTGTTGGATGCGATTTGCCAATATTTTGTTGAGGATTTTAGCATCTATGTTCATCAGCGATATTGGCCTGAAGTTTTCTTTCTTTGTTGTGTCTCTGTCTAGTTTTGGAATTAAGATGATGCTGGCTTCATAAAAAGAATTTGGGAGTTTTCCATCCTTCTGGATTTTTTTTAAAGGTAAATATTTCTTTTTTTTTAATATTAAATTTTATTTAGTTACTTTTCAAGTACATTTTTTTTTATCCATTTCTCCCATCCCACCCCACCCCCCCGCCCGGTCTCCCCCCTCCCTCCCATTCCCCCCCCACCAGTCCTCATCTCTGTGTCCTTCATACTTGGTCCTCAAAATCCCTCCCCCTTTTTCCCCTTAAGTTCCCTTCCCTCTCCCCTCTGGTCGCTGCCCACTTGTTCTCTATTTCAGCATCTTTGTTTTTTATTCTGTTTGCTTGTTTGTTTTATTCTTTAGCTTCCTGTCAAAGGTGAGATCATGTGGTATTTGTCCTTCAATGCCTGGCCTATTTCACTCAGCATAATGCTTTCCAGTTCCATCCATGTTGTTGCAAAAGGTAGTAGCTCCTTCTTTCTCTCTGCTGCATAGAATTCCATTGTGTATATGTACCACAATTTTTGGATCCATTCATTTACTGATGGGCACCTAGGTTGCTTCCAACTCTTGGCTATTGTAAATTGTGCTGCTATGAACATTGTGGTGCATAGGTTCTTTGAAATTGATGTTTTAGGATTCTTAGGATATAATCCCAGCAGTGGAATTGCTGGGTCAAAAGGCAGGTCGATTTTTATTTTTCTGAGAAAATTCCATACTGTTTTCCATAATGGTTGTACCAGTCTGCAATCCCACCAACAGTGAACTAAGGTCCCCTTTTCCCCACACCCTCTCCAACATTTGTTGTTTGTTGCTTTGTCTATTATAGCCATCCTGACTGGTGTAAAGTGGTATCTCATTGTGGTTTTAATTTGCATCTCTCTGATAGCTAACGATATTGAGCATCTCTTCATGTGTCTCTGGATATTCTGTATGTCCTCTTTAGAGAAGTGTCTGTTCAAGTCCTTTTCCCATTTTTTAATTGGGTTAGATGTCTTCCTAGAGTGGAGCCGTGTAAGTTCTTTGTATATTTTGGAGATTAAACCTTTGTCTGAGGTATCATTGGCAAATATGTTTTCCCATACAGTTGGTTGTTTTTTAATTTAATACTGTTTTCTTTAGCCATGCAGAAGCTTTTTATTTTGATGAGATCCCATTTGTTTATTCTTTCCTTTATATTCCTTGCTCTAGGGGACATATCCGTAAAAATGTTGCTACGTGGAATATCTGAGATTTTCTTGCCAATGTTCTCCTCTAGGACTTTAATGGTGTCATGGCTTATATTTAAGTCTTTTATCCACCTTGAATTTATTTTGGTGTATGGTGTAAGTCTGTGCTCAAGTTTCATTTTTTTGCACGTAGCTGTCCAGTTCTCCCAACACCATTTGCTGAAGAGGCTATCTTTACTCCATTTTATGTTACTGCCCGCTTTGTCGAATATTAATTGACTGTAGAGGGTTGGGTTGATTTCTGGGCTCTCTGTTCTGTTCCATTGGTCTATGTGCCTGTTTTTATGCCAGTACCAGGCTGTTTTGATTACAGTGGCTTTGTAATACAGTTTGATATCAGGTATTGTGATCCCTCCTACTTTGTTCTTCTTTCTCAAAAGAGCAGCTGCTATTCGGGCTCGTTTATGATTCCATATAAATTTTTGAAAAACAAACACTCCTTCTGGATTTTTTGAAATAGTCTGTGGAGAATAGGGGTTAGCTCTTCCTTAAATGCTTTGTAGAATTCTCCTGTGAAACCATCTGGGCCGGAGCTTTTGTGTGATGGGAGTTTTTTGATTACTGCTTCAATTTCTTTTGCTGTTATTGTTGTATTTAGATTTTCTGCTTCTTTTTCACTGAGTTTTGGAAGATTGTATTTTTTTAAAAATGTGTCCATTTCCCCTAGGTTTTCAAATTTCTTGGCATACAGTTCTTCATAGTAATTTCTTACAATCCCTTCTATTTCTGTGGTATCAGTTGTGATCTCTCCTTTTTCATTTCTGATTGTGTTTATTTATGTCCTCTCTCTTCTTTTCTTGATGAGCCTACTTAAAGGCTTGTCTATTTTGTTTATCTTCTCAAAGAACCAACTCCTGCATTCATTGATCCTTAAAATTGTGCTTTTAGTTTCTATGTCATTTAATTCTGCTCTAATCTTGGTTATTTCCTTCCTTCTGCTTGCTCTGGGCTGTCTTTGTTGTCGTTCCTCGATTTCTTGCAGGCGTAGGGTTAGGTTGTTTGTTTGAAATGTTTCTATTTTCTTTAGGTAGGCCTGTATTGCTATGAACTTCCCTCTCAGGACTGCCTCCACTGTGTCCCATAAGTTTTGGGTTGTTGTGAGATCATTTTCATTTGTTTCCAGAAATGTTTTTATTTCTTCCCTAATTTCATTCTTGACCCATTCGTTGTTTAATAGCATACCATTCAGTCTCCATGTTTTTGGGTGCTTTGGGTTTTTTTCTTTGGGGTCGGTTTCTAATTTCAGTCCCTTGTGGTCAGAGAAGATGCTTGGTATGATTTCAATTTTCTTGAATTTTTTGAGGCTCGTTTTGTGTCCTATCATGTGGTCTATCTTTGAAAATGTTCCATGTGCGTTTGAAAAGAATGTGTATTTAGCTTCTTTGGGATGAAGGACTCTATATATATCAGTTAAGTCCATTTCATCTAGGGTGTTGTTTAATGCCACAATATCTTTGTTGATAATTTGTTTGGAAGATCTGTCCATTTTTGATAGTGGGGTGTTCAAATCCCCTACTATAATTGTGTTGCTGTCAATATCTTTCTTGAAGTCCTCTAAGATTTTCTTGATATATTTGGGAGTCCCTATGTTTGGTGCATATATGTTTACAATGTTAATGTCTTCTTGGTGGATTCTTCCCTTGAGTATAATGAAGTGACCTTCTGGGTCTCTCTTTATAGACTTTTTTTTGAAGTCTATTTTGTCTGATATGAGAATTGCTACCCCAGTTTTTTTTTTTCTTGTTCGTTTGCTTGGAAAACTTGTTTCCAGCCTTTCACTTTTAGTTAGTGATGGTCTTTTGTCCTGAGGTGGGTCTCTTGTAGGCAGCATATGTGTGGGTCATGCTTTCTTATCCATTGAGCTATTCTGTGTCTTTTGATTGGAGCATTTAATCCATTTACGTTTAAGGTTATTATTGATAGGTACTTATTCATTGCCATTTTTGTACCTGTGTTCCTCTCTGTCTCCCTCTTATCCTTCCTTCCCTTAAAGCAGTCCTTTTAGTATTTCTTGTAGAGCTGGTTTGGTGGAGGCATATTCTTTTAGACTTCTTTTGTCTTGGAAGCTCTTTATTTGGCTATCTATCTTGATTGAGAGCCTTGCTGGGTAAAGTAGCCTTGGTTGTAGGCCTCTGGTTCTCATTACTTGAAATATTTCTTGCCATTCTCTTCTTGCTTGAAGTGTTTCCATTGAGAAATCAGTAGCTAACCTTATTGGGGCTCCCTTGTATGTTATTTCTTTTTTCTCCCTTGCTGCCTTTAAGATTCTCTCTTTGTCTTGGAATTTTGCCATTTTGATGATGATATGTCTTGAAGTGGGCCTCCTTGGGTTCCTCTTGGTTGGGACTCTCTGTGATTCCTGGATTTGTGAGACTTTTTCTCTTATCAAATTAGGAAAATTTTCTCTCATTACTCGTTCAAATATGTTTTCTATCCCTTGTTCTTCTTCTTCTCCTTCTGGTATTCCTATTATTCGGTTATTATTACGTTTCATATTGTCTTGCATTTCTCTTAATCCCTCTTCATTCTTTCTGAGCCTCTTTTCATTTTCTTGCTCTTTCTGTGAGATGCTTTCTACCTTGTCCTCCAACTCACTAATCCTATCCTCCGCTTCATCTATCCTACTTTGGAAACTTTCTACTGTGTACTTCAATTCCGAAATTGTGTTCTTCATTTCCTCTTGTCTCTTGCTGATAGTTTCCATTTCCTTTTTGATGTTGCTGTAGTTTGCAGAGAGATCATTATAGTTCCCCTGTAGTTTCTGGTAGTTCACTGTGAGCTCTTTGAACTTCGTAATAACCAGTGCTTTGAATTCACTGTCTGATAGTTGATCAGCGTCTATTTCATCTAACATTCTTTCTGAAGTTTCTGCTTTTTCTTTCATGTGGGGATTGTTTCTTTGTCTTCCCATTGTTTGAGACTCTTCTTGTTAGTCTCTGCTTCTAAAATTGATCTGTTCTGAAACCCTAGTTTTATGGTGTAAACTTCTGTGGTATGATCCTTGTGAAGTTCAGTGGTGCAGACTCCTTGAAGTTTCTTGATGTTCTTCGTTTCCACCTACACTCACACTGGTCCTCGCGCTGGTCCCTGCGTTGGTCACCTACCACTGCTGAATGACCCGGCTCTAGTAGCCGCCTCCTCAAGCACCCAGGCCCGTTACTACGGCAGCAGCACAGAGGCTGGGAATGTCCCGGCTCCCATATCTGGCTCTCTCTGCCGCCCAGGGCTGTCTCAGGGGTTTGGAGTGTCCCCGCTTCTGTACCTGACTCCCCGGCGTCCAGTCCCGTCGCTATGGCAGCGGCACTGGATCTGAGAACTTCCTGGCTCCCGTAGCTGGCTCCTCTGCTGCGTCACAGGGGTTTGGAGAGTCCCAGCCCGGCGTCCAGTCCCGTCGCTATGGCAGTGGCACAGGATCTGTGAACGTCCCGGCTCCCGTAGCTGGCTCCTCAGGGCCCAGACCTGTCTCTATTGGCGGCGTCACAGGGGCCTTTGGTGTCCCAGCCCCTGCAACTGACCCTTCCGTTGCCCAGGCCGGTAGCTATGGCATTGGCACAAGGGCCGAGATTGTCCCCGCTCCAGTTCCTGACTCCTCTGTTTCCCAGGACCGTCACAGGGGCTTGGAGTGTCCGGCTTCTGTACCTGACTCCCCGGCTCCCAGGCCTGTTGCTCTGGCGGCAGCACAGGGGCCACGTGAGACCCAGCTCCAGTAGCTGACTCTGCCGCCGTCTGGTGTTTCAGCGTCGGTCACAATCTCTGGTCTTTTAATTTCATAAATGCTGGGTAACCAATGGTTTGTTGTGCTTTTTCTCTATAGATCTGCCAGGATTTTCACCCATGAGTACAGG